AATTCAAGGATTCTCAAGATCCTCACAAAGAGGATCCTCATTCAAATGAAGCCAAAAGCTCAACTCTAATTTATCATTTTTTTAACAAATAATATTATCTACACTAAAAGAATAAAAAAATGTGTTAAACCTCACAATGTGTTTAGTCATAAATTCAGCTCTATTTTTATTATTAAACTGGCTAAATTTTGCAGCCGTTTCTTAGGTTCAATGATAGTTTTCTTCATTATTAATAAAATAATCTCGCATTTTATTAATAATTTAATACTAATTTATTATTAGTCACTCAAGGTGTAGTTTAGTTCAAATCTCTAATTTTTAAAGGAGTGTAGCGTACTAAAATTTATATGGATTTTTGTTGAGCTTTTAAAGTGATAAACTTTGCCGAATTTAGTTATTTTTACCGACTATTATATATTTTGTTAACTTTCATTAGTTGCACAAGCCTTTATCCAAAGGAATTCTTTTTTTTTTGGATAAAAATGAGGACTAGTTGTAGGGCCCCTTCACATTGAACTTCAACGATTATAACCGTCTATTTCTCGAGTTGTATTTTATAAAGGGAAAATTTATTTAAACTAATGTAACCTCTTTCTACATCCAACTTAAATTTTAAATGTACATTATCCTTTTTACCATATTGCATAATTACCATCAAGTACAAAATGAAACTAATAATAAAATTAAAATTTATCAATAAACCCACACACTATAATTAAAACTTATCATTACTCATTGTTTATCCTGTGTTCATTCTTGCTAGAACCCTAATAGCTTTTATGAAGAAAAACAATATTTTTTTTTGTCGATAGATGGTGATTTTGAAGTTTTGAATTCTTCAACTAAAGTATGACTCAATTTATCAAAATTTTTGTTTGTCTGATTTCAATTTTTCTTAGACTGTAGAAAGATGAGTATTTGGGTTTCAAATTTATTCATCAACGTTCTACAACAGTTGTAATGAAAGTATTGATATATAAGACCCTTTCTATGGAAAGTAGAAGTATTAGTAATTTGTTTGGCTTTGGCATATCAGAAAGCGAAAGTTGTTTTCGTGCTAGCATGTCCTCCTATACGAAACCCTTCACTTCAACTTCACATTACAAATTTGTTGCAGTTTTGATTGACATTTGTTTTCCTTCTAAGAAATTGCTTGGGGTAGTGCATGTTAGTGAGTGCAGGTTAGATGAATTTCTTTCATCAAATAAAATTAAATAATTGCAGCAAAAAACAGACACACAAAAACCGAAACACAAATAAATAAAAAACAACAGCCATGGAAAATGCTATAATGTTGTACACAGCTCTAGTAGAAATTTGAAACTTTATCAAAAAATCAAATAAGATGCAGCAAAAAAATGCAGAGAAAATTTTGAAAAACAAAAAGCTCTGTTTCTAAAGAGCTCAAGGTGGGAGGGGAGACAAGAGCTCAAGGTGGGAGGGGAGACAAATGACTCAAAAGATTTTTGATTTTCGAGTTTCTTTGAGATTTTATTTTATAATGGGTGTAAAGATAAATATACTTTTTAACTGGGTTTGTTAGGGTACTTTAGGTAATAAATTTGGGTTAAAAGAGATATTAATTCTTTAATTAAAAATAATATGGATGTAGAGAGTAAGTTGGGTATAGAAAGAGGTTAGATAGGTTCAAATAAAATTCCCTTTTATAAATCATCTTTACAAAATAGTAGTCAAATCGTATATATTTGAGGAATCTAATTGAGTTAAAAATTTTGACGAACATTATGTTCTAAGAAACATTCCAATTTCATCATGACAATCAAATGAGCAAATGGTTTCGGATTGAATTAATTTTTGCACGTATAATCTATGAATGAAAACTTAAAAAATAGAAGGGGTCCTTGAAGTTCAATGTATAACGGACCCCACAACTAGTCCCCATTTTTACAACACAATGGGGATCCCTTTGAATAAAGGTTTTGTTTAATCTTATACATCAGTGGAAAACTAATAAGTTTTTTTTTATATATTTTTTTTGTACTTTTACTATTATGAATGAGAGAGGGAAAAATTCAAAACTATTACAATAATTTAGAGGAGGGGGCAATTTCGAACTCGGGACATATGGGTAGAACCCAACACCCTATCCACTAAGATATTGAACCACATGCAAAATAAAGGAGTTAAATGATAGTCTTTTGCATAATTCTAGAGAGTTTAATACTAGAATTTTTTAGAATTCTATGGATTGTCATGGACTTTTTAATTACCAATTTATTAATAAACATTATTATTTTTAAGTTTTCAATAGGGTGATCATGACCATGATAAGGTAGTTTTGTGAGCAAGATGGTGGTAGTAAAGTTAGTACCCTTGCGGCGGCGATAGTAGTAGGGTGGTGATTGTGGTGGCGGGGTGGTGTTGGGGTGTTGGAGGAGTAGAGATGGGGGCAGTGGCAGTGGCGGATGCATTATGAGCTTTGGTGGGTCTAGGGAATCGGGTGGTCTCGGGACCACCCATAAACCCGGATAAATTGTTGTGAGGACCTTTAAGGACCACCCAAGTTTGGGCATGTGGTGGAGGAAAAGAGCGCAATGGCGACCATTGGTTGCACGTTCTGTATGATTAATGAAAGAGAAGAAGGCTATTTTGTTTTTTAAAACACTTTGCCAAAACGATGTTGTTTTGAGCTAAGCCATTTAAAACAAAATAATTAAAAGCAAGTGTTCTTTTTAAGCCACTTGAGAGAGACATTTTTTATTAAAAAAAATTAAAGAGAGTTTATTCTCTTTACTCCTACCCAAGATCTCCACCTAATCACATTTTGCATTCACTTTCTCCAATTGAGTAAATTCCCAATTCCAATTTTTTTCCCACTAGCCCCACCCAATCGATTCCCAGGCCACTACTAGCTCCTCCATGCCTCTACCTATCTCCTCTCCACGACCACCACCTAGTTCACTCAGTCTCCATCACCACTTAATCCCCTACTTTCTGAATTTAAGTAAGTTTTTTTATTTTAGTCTAAATTAATCATATAGAATGTTAAAATTCATATGTGTTGAATGAAAAGTTTAAATTCCTAATACATTATTGCTATTGTTAATTTGTTATGATTTAAATTCATAATTGATATTGTGGACAAATTTAGTCTTTGCAGCCTGCAATGTTGTTTGTAATAAGATTATGAGTGAAAAGTTCGTAGTTTATCGTTTAATTTTTCACTATTATTTTCGTCTATTTTTTTGGGAGCTTTTATATTGGGACTTGATACTATAATCCTAGATCCTCCATTGGATGGTGGTGATGGGGTGGCAACATGGTGGCGGAAGTGGTGATAATGAAATCCACCAAAATCTTAGCAGTAGAGTATATTAAGAATTGAGAAAAATGAAATCCACCAAAATCTCAGCAGGAGAGATTAGATTTGCTATGACAAAAAAACTTACTATAAAAGCACTCAAGTCCATCAAAATTTGAGGGTTTTTTTTTAATTTTTTTTAACAAACAATATTACCTACATTAAGAGAGTGGGGATGGACTAAACTTTACAATGAGCTAGCAATAATGTCGTTCAAATTCTCTTTTGGCAAGAAACGTACCAAAGACCCTTCAATTACAAGTGAAGAGGAATACCACTAGACTGTAGTATTAAATTGCTTTAGGAGTTTTTAAAGAATGATTGAATGCCACAAGATTTTCATAGACTTATAAGTTATAAAAAATTTATATCCAATACAGAGTGACTTCTATTGACTCTTTGTAAGTCTATATATATATATTTTTGAATAAAAGACAATATCATTAACAAAGGAAAATTACAAAATATCATGGATAAGGAGATCCTGAATAACACTAAGAGGCTCCTTAACAGACAATGCAAACTTTGCCAAACAATGAGCAATACTATTATTATTCCTAGAAACGAAAATAAACTTAGAAGCAATAAAAGCCTCTGCAATATGTAGGACATCTCCCTCTAACAAATCCATAGTCGATGCACGGTCAACACAAGTGAGAATGATGGAAATTGCTTGGGAGGAGTCACTTCGAATTAGAACCTTCTGAAAGCCAAGTTGATGGGTGAGCTCCACACCACGCTTAATGGCTAACATTTCTGCTTGGAGAGCAGACATCACCGTAGGGAGGAAATATGTCGTTGCAGCCAGAAAATGTCCCTGCCCGTCTCGTAGAACCACTTCCGCCCCACCCACCTTATTCTGCAAATTAGTCGCACTATCCACATTCAACCATACCTAATCCTCCACCACCCCCTCACCATCACCCGTAAGCCCATCCCGAGGACAGCATTACTGAGCAACAGTTACAAGCTCTGCTGTGACCCGAAATTTCTGCAACAAAGACACCGCACTCTGAGCCACCACAGCTGGAGACCCATGCTTCCCCTTCCAAATCCTATCATTCCTATCCTGCCATAAATGCCACACCACCATGCACATAAAATCAAAGTCCAATGGTGATTTTGAAGTAACAATATGAACCATTCTTTAACCGATCCACAGGGAACAGAATCAACTAGAAAACTACATGGGGTTGCAAACCATGTAGCTCTAGCAAATGAACAATCCTTAAGAACATGCACCACTGTTTCTGGTTTTTCACTACATAAAACACACAACGAATCTAAACCAACCCCTCTCTTTGACAAATTCTCTTTTGTCAGGAGAATGTCTTGTCTGCCATATCATATTCCGCACCTTCGGTGGGATTCCGGCCTGCCATATTGCCTTCCGTAATGGAGTAAATGGATTACCACCAAGAGTTGAAGAAGAAGCACTCAAAGAAGGTGGTTGAACATAATCCCAAGCAACCCCATAAACACTTTTAACCGTGAACTGACCCCTATCAATGTAGTGCCATACCAACTTTTCTGGAGGTAGACAATGGCTAATTGGTAGAGCACGAATATGCTCCCTATCCTCCTCTTCAAAATATGCACTCAATGCAGTTTCACACCACATTCTCCTTTCCTCATCAATCAATTCCTGCACCAACATATTCTCCCTTGAGGGAGGCAACTATCTGGACCCCTTCTCCAAGACAATTCTAGCTTTGAGTATGCTAGACCAATAATACGACGAAGAAGAGGGGAATGAAGCATCCCAAAACGACGAATGAGGGTGATATTTTGCTTTAAACAACCTTGTCGTCAAAGACTCAGGATCCTGGAGAATATGCCATTTCTGTTTAGCCAACACTGCCAGATTAAAGGCATAAAGGTTCATGAACCTCATACCCCATTTCGGTTTAGCCAAACACAACTTATCCCACGATTTCCAATGAATTTTGCTTGAGTCAGGATCATTACCCCACCAAAACTGAGCCATGAGCTGATGTAGATCATCACAAAAAGTCTTCGGAAGCAAAAAACAATTCATGGCATATGAAGGCAATGCCTAAGCCACCACCTTCACAAGCAACTCCCGTCCTGCTCTGCTTAAACACTTTCCTTTCCACCCACATAGCCTCTTATGAACTCTCTCCTTAATATAAGCAAAAGTTTGTCATTTGTTCTTACCCACAAACGTAGGCAGGCCCAAATATCTATCATGCCGCTCTACCAATTGAACACCCAAAAAATGTGCCAACCCTTGCTGCTTACGGTCTCTCACGTTAGCACTGAAAGCAATGCTACTTTTACCCAAATTTATTTCTTGACCTGATGCTTGGGAGAACACATCCAGATTATGTTGAACCTCTACACACTCTTCCAACTTCGCCTTTCCAAACAAGAAACTATCATCGGCAAACAACAAATGATGAACACTAAGAGCACCATCACAAATCCTTATCCCACTAATCACTCCCTTCTCTTCTTTATGCGCAATAAGTGCTGACAAACCTTCAATGCAAAAAAGAAACAAAAATATAAGATAGAGGGTCACCCTGACAAAGACCGCGAGATGGCACAACAAACCCACATTCCTCTCCATTAACCAAAAAGTAGTGTGAAACCGATTTCACACACATCATCACGACAGCCACCCATCTACTATCAAATCCCAACCTCAACATCATAGCTTCCAAAAAATTCCACTCCACCCTATCATATGCCTTGCTCATATCCAATTTGAGTGCAAAGGATCCCTCCCGTCCCCACCTCTTATTGTGAAGGAAATGACCTATTTCCGCTGCCACCAAAGTGTTATCAGAAATCAACATCCCTAGAACAAAGGCACTCTGATGTGGAGAAATTATGACATTCAAAAATTTCTTCAATCGGTTCGCAATCACCTTTGCACCAATCTTGTAGATTACATTACATAGACCAATCGGCACAATTGTGACATTTCATGTGGCTGATTTACCTTAGGAATTAATACAACATGAGTGAAACAAGCCTCCCGTAGTAACCGTCCAGAGGTGAAAAAAGAGCAAATAGCATTCACCACGTCATGCTTAACAACATGCCAAAACTTTTGAAAAAACAAAGGTGACATACCATTCAGACCTGGGGCTTTGGACGGATGCATTTGGAAAAATGCAACACGAACCTCCTTCTCCGAGTAAGGCTTCAACAACTACGCATTCATTTCAGGGGTAACCCGTTGAGAGCAAGCTGCCATCACCTCTTGTACCACATTGTCAAGAACACCACGGGAGTGACAAATATTTTGAAAATACCCTACAACCGTGCTTTGAATTCCAGCCCTGGAATCCTGCCACACTCATTTCGCATCCCTTAGCCCCTTAATAGTATTTTTCCGTTTACGATTAGACGCCCGCAAATGGAAAAACTTTGTATTCCTATCCCCTTCCTGTAACCATTGTACACGCGAACGTTGACTCCAATACGTCTCTTCCCGCCCAAGAAGTGAATCAAGCTGACCCAATAGCTCCGCCCTTGCCGCATATAACTCAACCGAAGGTGGATGCTCAAACAACACACCCAACTTATCTCGCACTTTAGCAATCTCTGCCTTCATAAAGCCAAACACCTCTCATTGCCATGCTAACAAGGCACATCGTGTGAAACAAATCTTCTCACACACTTGGAAAAGTGGAACCCCCGACATTGATTTATTCCATGCCGAATTGATGATCCCTTCGCAGCTCTCCTCCCTAAGCCACATCTCCTCAAACTGATGATCCCTTCACAATCTATATTAAATATACTTTGATGTGAGAGTCAAGTAAAGTCTATCAAACTCCATCTACATTACGTTCCCATAGTGTAAATGAATGATCCTACGAGAGTTAACATTTATTGAAGGAAATTTTTTTTTAGGTTGATTTTAAAGTCCGACTATAAGGTTACGTCTTATTTAATGGTACAAATATATACAATATCTAACAATTACAAAAATGTATTTTTTTTTTTATGCAAATGTAATTCTTAATTTTTCGAACCACTTAGTGTGTTACGTAATTTGAAAGAAAAATTGTTGGTTTTGATGCTTCCAAAGAAGACGAAGGAGATGGTTTGGTAACTTGGTTCATGACTTCATGTGCATTGGACTGCGTACCCTTGATCAATTGTTGCCATTTGTACAGGCTTGCAGGCTACTACAAAACTCCAAAACCATCACAAAAGAAATGGTCCATGCAAATTAAATAAATGATTTATTTTTCAAAATTTAAACTCATAAATATATAGGAAAACTAATGAAAAGAGTTTGAAAATTTTGAATTTTAACGATAAACATAAAATAAAGGGTAAAATGAATAATATCAGGATTGACATTTTAGTTTTAAAATATGATTTTTCGTTAAAATGAACAATACGGGAAGCTTTTCGTTAAAGTTCCCTAAATATATAAGTAGATGTGAGCAATAATATTGGATTGTATGTGGTTATATCATAATGGATAGAGAGTTGCTTACCACCCATAGGTCTCGCTTTTGAAATACTCTCATTTAAATTATTGTAATAATTTTGAATCTTCCTCTCTCCCTTAATAATAATAAATAAAGCAGTAGTATTGGACATAATAGATTCACTGCTTCTAAAACTCGAGGTTGAATCATCTTTTTCGTAATTTAAATTAGTTTAAAAAAGATAATCGTTTGTATGTATATAAAAAAAAAAAACATTTGAACGGTCTTTGTAACATTATTATGATTCAAATTTTCGTTTTGAGAAAATAAAAAACTCAGAAACCTTAAGGGAAAAGATACCCGTTGATATTTAATTTATGCATAATTTTTTTTTTCAAACGATAGATTTTGTTATATTAGATATTAGATTAGCCACCGACAGAATTTAATCTCACACCGTCATGTAATGACTCAACATATTTCTACCACTGTGGTAAATGATCACTGGCTAATTTATGCATAATATTAAAAAGTAGGTTTAGGTGGAAAAATTATGATTGATTTCCCCTCCTATCACCATCCCCTTTCCTTCCCTCTACACACACTTTGTTTTTTGTCTTATTGTTTCTACAAAAAATATATATATAAAATATCAACATGATTTAACCGTAACTGTTCAAGTAAAAAGAAAAGAAATATAAGAGAAATTAAGAGTAAAGAGAATCCTCCTCCTTAACTAAGACACCAATGTAACGTATACAAATGGTTTAGGGAGGCTGCCGACGTGATGAGATGAGCACCCTATGCGACAAGCTTTGTTGATAAAACGTAAAAAACGTGCACCAATTTCAGGAACCAACAGTCATATTTTGACAAATTATATTTGGGAAAATAGCTATAATCATATTTTGACATTTAGTTTGCATAAGTCTTATTTTTCAGTAATGACGATCTATTAATTATATAATTACAACGACATAATGATGACATAACAACAATACAATGAAGATATAATGACAACATAATAAATAAATACTGATCATTTTTGCAATGAAATGTCAAAATATGTTTATAGCTAGTTGTCCATCATATTTTTATGATCAGACTGTTTTTGTAAACATGTGTCAAGTATTGATACATCATCTTGAGAGGTCTTCCGTCTCTGAAATATAATGAGCTTCACTTAATTTTTATAGTACTGTTGGAGGTTTTATTTTATTTTATTTTATTTTTTGCAGTACAAGTGATCTTTCACAATAATGAATGGGAGGATTTGAATCTACAATGGAACGAGTTGAAGACGAAAGCTCTAACCATCATAGCGATCTATTACTTTCAATATTATCGGAATTAGTGTCAGACTTATTGATTTGGTTCTGCACTTAAGAAAATTGGGAATAAAGTTAGCAAATGGTGAGAAATATGTTGCTTCTAAGCCGATTGACCAGAAAGAAATTGTTGCTTCTAGTTGTAGGCTAATGCTTGCCTATATTGTTGTTTTTATCAGCGTAATGAATCAAAGACCTAGCAATAGTATCAGTAATTTAATTAACGCAGTGATTCCACCGTAACGATTATGGAACCAAAACAAAACGAATAAAAACAAAATAAAATAAAATGTGTTTACTACTATTTGGACACATGCAATGGGCACGTGTAGGACTGATTGTCCATTATGTTCATGAACCGACCACGCTGCTACACAAGTCAAGGCCGGAAAGCTGGAGAAAATTGACTCTTTGCTCCAAGAAACGTGTCGGAGACTTGGAGGTTTTGTATTTTTTTTATTTTTTTTACATTGATATTTTTATATTAAGGGATTGAAGACTTGAAGGTAAGTTCAGTGCTCAAATTTTGACTTCATACCCAAACGTCACTAATTTACAGGGCGGTATAACGGGTTTTTAAAGTTCAATTCTTGATAAAAATTAAAATTTAGTGTTCAAATTACATATTGAGTTTAGTCCTTTAATGTGTATTTTATTTTAAACTTATTAAATTTTTGCTTTAATGTTTAATGAGTATTTTACTGAATAACTCTTCGTTGAATTTAAAATTTATTATTTACATATTTTAATTCATTAATTTGGCTTAACTTTCTCAAATGATTTTCTTATAAATTACCTAAATGAGAAGAAATTGTGACACATTATAATAAATGAAAACTAATGAAAAATATTTCAAAATTTTGAATTTTAACAAAAAAAAAAAAAAAAAAAAAAAAAAAAAAAACTAAACTCAACCAATTCTTAACTAATGATAAAAACAAAAGAAAGAAAAAACAAAAAAAACTTAACTAAAGCGTGTGCAAAGAATACGCCAACCAATTCTTCACAATTTTAAAATGTTTACCTAATAAAGGATCATGAAAATATTTTTTGGGTAAATTACATAGTAACCCCTCAAGTCTGGGGTCTATTACAATATCATACAACATCTTTAAAACATTTCACTTTCATATATCACGTACTATTTTATTTCAAAATAATACATCCGTTAGATTTTCCATCAATTGATCCGTTAAGTGCTGACGTGGTTGCCACATTTGTGCCACGTGGCTGCCAAATGTGTGCCACGTGGAAAAAATAATAATTTTTTATTACCCTATTGAACAAAAAAAAAAAAAAACAAAAAAAAATTGAAAACCCATAATTTCATCCCGTGCTTCCCTCCCTCCCTGCACCTTTCATCTCTCCCTCTCCATGCCACTTCCTCCCTCCCTGCACCCTTCATCCCTTCCTCGCCATGGACCAAACATTGCAAATCCCTACAATTCCACGTGCCATGGCTTGATACAAAACTTAGCAAATCCAAATCCAAAAACCCATTTAAAAAAAAAATTGAAAACCAGAAACCCATTCCCCCGACCCTCCTCCCACTCTCATCACTCTCTCTCTCAAACCCCAAACCCCCCAGATCCAAAACCCACACAACTTCGCCGGGTCACCACCACCAACGCCTTCCTCCTCAGCGGTTTGACCCTCATCCCACTCTCATCACTCTCTCTCTCTCGAACCCCAAACTCCCCAGATCCAAAATTCACACAACTCCGCTGGGCCACCACCGCCGGTGCCTTCCTCCTCAGCGGTTCGAACGGCTTGATTGGTTGAACCGGATGCTGGAACGGCGGCTTGGGACCTTAAAGATTGGAACTTGTGGGGGCAGGGGTGTTGGTGGCGGGTGGATGGAGGAGGCTGTGAGGAGGGTGAAGGAGGAAGGATAGATGAAGTGGAAGGTGAGCAGTTCGGTGGTGTTGGGATTGGGAGTGGGGATGAAGATGGTGAAGGGAATAATTTTTGGGAGGTGGAATTTGTGGGATTGGGTTGCAGGGAAAAGGGGAGGCTCGGGTTGGGGGGTTGCAGGGATGGGGTTTTGGGTTTTCAAGGTTTTTTTTTTTTCAATTGGGTAATAAAAATTATTTTTTTTGCCATGTGGCATTAATTTGGCAGCGACGTGGCACAAATGTGGCAGCCACGTCAGCTTTTAACGGATCAATGGATGGAAAATCTAACGGATGTATTATTTTGAAATAAAATAATACTTTAGGTATGAAAGTGAAATGTTTTAAAGATGTTGTATGAGGTTGTAATAAACCTCAAACCTGAGGGGTTACTATGTAATTTACCCATATTTTTTTCATGACTAGATATCGAAATAAGCACCCTAGTGTGGATATAGTTAATATGAAGCAGTTGCAAAATTTAAATCTTCATCCCACATAAGTGCAGAAATTGTTAAAGCAATTAGCCGATGAGAGGTGTGGAGCAAAAAATAATCAAGAAAATTATGAAGGCGACATGTGGATTTTAGGGGTGAAAAAGACAAAATTACCCCTAGGGCACATCATGACTCTCACGCGCATGCAACGGACAATAACGACACAATCGAGGTCAAATGTGATCAAAATGACATTCTTTTAAACCATCTCATCACTCCTCATCAAATTCTCACCCACAAGGTAACTTCCAATTATTCTTTTCAAATTGGGATTAATTAGCAAAATTAATTGATTAATTGCCCAAATTAATTGCAAGATATTATTTCACATAATATCCTGCAATCAATCCCACAAATAAACCAAATGCGGCGGGTCCC